AACAAGATGGGCGGGGTCAGACAATCGACAGGAGAAAGCACATGGCACCAAACAAACACAACATAAGCCATGTGCTTACACAAAACACACAGTGTCCTCTGGTGGCCATCCTGGGCACACCAGCTGAAGACTGTGACACAGGATGTGTAAACTAACCAAATGCTTTCACCTTGACAGTGTGTTTCACTCACCACCATTTTATTCACCTCAAAAGAAAAAAAATGCTGTTGCAAGTGTTTAAAAATAGTTTCTGCATGAAGTAGATCATAGATAATGTGATTGTAGACTGTCTACAGTTACTGTGTGTAACTGCCTGTGCCCCATATTAAAAAAAGTCTCTGCTTAACATGAAGCTGTCATTGACATTGCACAATATATAATCATAAGTGTTTCCCCTAGGTGTAGTTTTCAGTTACTATATTCAATACATATATTGACACAAGGAAATTGTGCCATTTTATGATTCAGGGATGAATGAGTGAAGATGTAATAATTAATTTTAAAATATTATTTAAAAAATAATTTATAAGAAATAATATTCTGTATAAACATTATGCCTACTTTTAAGACCATTAAGATCTTTATTTATTTATTATTATTATTTATTTTATTTTTTTTATGATTTTGTGACATTATTATTTTTTTTATAAAATTCCCCTCTAATTTGTCAACAGGGTGGTTTACTTTTGAGTTGTTTGATGTTCTATAATTTTCATCAGATTGAATAAATAAAAACATTAAAATAAATACAATATTTTTAAATTGTTAATATTTTCTTTAATATTAAATCAGCAATCAATTATATATATATATTACAATATGAAGTACTGATGTTGATTATGTTGCTGAATAAACTTACAGCCAATGAAAATATAATACCAATAAACAGAACGGAAATGATCATTACAATCATCTCTGGTTTTGGTTTTGTGCCTTCACTGGGGATTGGCCTTTCTGGTCTCTCTGGAAGACAAAAGATTTACACAGTTTTGGAGGAAAAACACAAGAAAACATAAGTGCATCCTTTCATAATGTCTACGCAAAAGAATATAGGCTGAAATATAAACTGTTTAAATCATGTGGTTTTACACACCTTTAATTAAAAGCTTAACTCTCCAGACTACTGATTCCTCTATGATGTAGCACTTGTATTCTCCTGCATCAGTGTGTTGAAGGTTGTTGAGTTTGATGGAGAAGTTTCCTCTCATATACTCCTCGGGGAAGCTTTCAGTTCTGTTCCTGTACTCTGGATCCTGTCCTTCCACAGAGACTTTACCATAAATAATGCCATAAACATTCTGGCTGCTGTGTCTCCAATACACACCTATGCCTTGAATGGTATGCGGAGGATCTTTAGAAGAACAAGGTAAAACAGCAGAGCCTCCAATAAAACCCACAACAGTCTCCTGCAGAGACACTGAAAACAGAGAGTATGATACAAGATACCAAGTTCAGCAGGCAAGAATGGTAGAATTGCTTTACAAATAATTCTTCATTTTAGTGCTCACCTCCATTTATAAACAGAAACACAGGTAGAAAACACACCTGTGAATACCTGTAAACACAGAGTCAACACTTAGTCAAAGTCAACGTCTATGGATTAAAAAAAAAAGAAAGAAAATAATATACAAGTAGATCATAAAATTATAAAGTCATCAGTTTCTACAGACTTCAAATAAAAAATTATTACGCTTTAGTTTAAGTGAGCTCTTTGTATGGACTTAGTTTAACTTATTAGAATCCAGGGGTGGGCAGTATTTCAGATACATGTATTTAAAATATGTATTTGAAATACAAAATATTATTTTGTATTTTAAAGCCTTTGAAAAAAAAATCAAATGTATTTTGTATTTAAATACATTTAAGATCAGTATTTTGCGGATTTGTATTGGGCGATGGAATGGGGTATTAATGGTTATGAACGAATGAATGAAACGCATTTGTCCGTGTTTCACTCCGTCTCGACTCGCGCTTGCGGAAAGCACTTGAGAAACAGTGTCTCTTCCGCGGCTCGGTACGCTTTCAACTCGTTTTTTAGTCTGGAGCAAGACTGTACGACATCATTCATGTTTTCATAACCGCTGGCCAAATTAAAAAATGAAACTAAAATTAAATCGTTTTTGAGAGCAAGGGGGCCCCCTGGTGTTTCGGGGGCCCCACAGCTTGCGTATTTTGCATATAGGGAGGATCGGCTCTGAGCCAAGAGGGTCTAGCTGCAGCCTCGCACTTGCACTCTCAGACTTGCACTCTCAGACACTTGCGCTTCCGCTAGCGACGTCACTTGCAGTCTTTTATTTTTTTTATTTTGTTCTATTTATTGATTACTTTTTGTTTGAATCTCTCAACATTTTACA